CCATGCAGTTTGATCGGGTATAGGTACAGGTAAAATTTGAAATATTAAATCGGGGATGAGGATATACTTACCCGCCCCATCCCCGTCCCCATCCCCATTCTCGATTTAATACTCGTCCCTGATTTGATTGTTTTTAAGAATTTTAATATTTGTGTGATTGTTTATTATGATGTGAAATATTTGTGATTGTTTAATTATTAAGAAGTCTCTTGATTAAAATATGAGATAGATAAACAATCCAATTACAATTGTAATATAATGGAAAGATAAGTTAAAAATATTGTGTATTTTTTTTATAAAACAATAATTAATTTTTTACAGGTACAAGTATACCTGATACCCGACGATGATGGGGATGGGACAAAAATTGCATACCCGACAATTACGGGGACATGGATGAGTTTGAATAGCAAGAACGAGGATAGGTATCATGAAACTCATACCCGGCCCGCCCCGTTTCCATGCCTAATAAATAGAGACTAACAATATGTATATTGATCAAAAGAAATACATGAGGTTGATTGATTAAATTTGATCTCACTAAAAAAGAAAGATAGCTATTCATATTAAGGAGTGTCAACTCAAGATTAAAAAATGATTTAGTTCTCACTCTTCAAGTTGAGGAACAATGGTGCGAGTTCTTTCCTAGAACATAACTTCTATTCTAGAGAAAGAGAGTTTGAGAGTAGAGAGAGTTTATTTCCCAATCTGAATTCCCTTTATATCAAAGGAAAAATGGCATGTTTTCATATAAAGTCGCCAACCAAATAAATTTGTTGAGCAAATTTAAGGTTTCTTCACCCCTAAGTAAAAAATTCACCCGATCAAATTATGTTTGACTTGGATAATACGGAACTCTACCTCAATTTGGCTGGACCACAAAAACTTAGCTTGACAAATTTTCACCCTTTTTCTTTTCCTTCTTATTTCCCCTTCAAAATGTGATCTTGTTGTATTTCTCTCACAAATCTTATTTTTCAGCTTGATATAGGTTGCACCTAACACAAAAAAAAATATAATGGAGATTAAATAACTTTAATTATTGTTATAAATATAAAAAATAGTTTACTAATTATATTATTTACAAAAGTAAACTACTTTTTTTCTTTTAAATAACCGATTCAAGTAAAATTGACATATAACAACTCCTCTGAAACTAAATGTTTGCTTGACCTCAAGCAAAAGAAACAATTGTCTCACGACTTATCTTGCTACTACGAACAACTAATTACAAAATTTTAACATTAACATCACGCAATAGATATGAAAAGATTTCATGTCATCACTTAAAAAATTGCACTAATTCTTGTTAATCTTTTTAGAGGAATCAAGAACATTCAACATTGATGTTCATATGGTTCTCACTAGATTCAACAAATCCAAGACAAATTATCAAATTAGTTAAGAAGGAGACAATCCAAAATTTTAACCAATTCAATGATTCCTCCCAAGTGTTACACTCATAATTCAATCAAATTCTAGGTGGTTGTTTTACTCGATCTAACCAATTTGTTGGTGAACATCAACATTGAGGTTCATCTTTATATCATCACAATTGCAAAACAAGGCATGAATCACCAAAATCTTTAAAGATTTATAATAGGATTAGACTCCAAAAGAAATTGATTTTTCTAGGTAAGCAATCATCACACCAAGGGTTTAGAGAACATAAATGATAGTTGAACTCCAATTTACTCTCAATTTTCTTTCCTCCATTCCAACTCCTTTGCTAATCTAATTTTCCAATACCTTCCTTAAATAACAATTTCAATCACATACTAACAAGGGAAATTTCTCTCCTCTTATACACAGTCACAGATTTATACAATACACATCACATTTTTTTCCCATCTTTTACTTAGAGATAATCGAAATCACAAAAATAGTTAACACAAGAAAGAAATTCTCAACATAGCATCATTTTTTAATCTCCTAAAGTTTTCTTTCTTTTCAACCTTCACATGTTTTCCTCCAAACTTACGTTTCATCAAATTTCGCTTATGCTTTATAATCTTTAGCAAGGAAAAGGTTTGTGGTTTTTCTTTTCAAGACTTAATGGTTGACCAAAGAAATATTCACCTTTTAAAGCTCAAACAGGGCTCAAATGAAATTTAAGCAATTAAGATTGACTATTTGGTCCTTGATTTAAAGAAAAAAAAATACATCATTTTCGATTCTCATTATGATTTATGCATTGTGATAAATAAAGATTCACTCAATATCAATCACTTAGAACAAATTGGTAACACTAAATAAGAGTATTCAGATGTAATCAACTCACTTAAATATATTTATATAATCTCCCCGTAAGAACATGTTAAGAACTTTCATCAACCAATTTAATGTTTCTCCCAGCAAAACAATTTGTTGTACAATGGACGTAATGCAATATAACGGCAAGTTAACAATTTCTATTTGAATTTAGATCTTCAAAGCATATTATTGTTCAAAAAAGTATTACTGCTATGATTGGTTTCTTCTTTTTAGTTCATTTTTGTTTTAAAATTAATTTGAATGTTTTTCCTCAAGTGATGCTTAAATTTTTTGTTGTGATATTTTCTATTTTCCAAAGAATGAAAATGTCATCCAACATCCATTACTTAAAAAAATATATAATATTCTAATTTAAAAGCAGACATATCCTTGTTTTCGGTTTTAATTGAAGAGTTTAATAAATATACATGATTTTTTTTACAGCTATAAATATACATGGTTAACCTATTATAAATCACATTTGACATGACTTGTAAAATTGTTATTATTAAAATAAATAAATTTAACATACAAAATTTGTAATGATTCTGTTAAAAAAATTGTAATTTGTAATGATGATGATAATATAAATATATTTTACACTAACCATATATATTATATCTTCTCTAATTGAAGATATTCTTAGGTGATGTTAATATGATCCATGAAATGCGGGGATACTCATCGGTTTAAATATGTCTCTCAGAATTCTATATATTAATTTTGATGGTACATTTTATTGTATCTTTTTTTTTTTACACCATTTTATTGTATATCTTAAAATTATATAAGTTTATTTTCTTCAATATGCAAGCCCACCACCTAAGCAATGCTGATTGATTGATTAATTGAAATGCAAACCCACCACCTAAACAATTCCAATTAAAACAAAATAAGTCATGTCGGCTTGTTATGGTATTAGCGTGAGGTATGAATATGATTCATGCAAATAACCTAGCTTCAATCAACACTTCGGAGAACAATATAAAGAAAAATTGAAATAATTTTATTAAGATAAAATTATTTTATACATAAATTAAAAATAAAATTTTAAAAAAATTGATAAGAGAAAGAAATTTATTTAATTCTTTTTCTTAGAAATAGTTTCAAGAAACTTTACTCAAATAAGTTTATAGTCGGTCTATAGGTATAAGTTGACGGAGCTGCAATCACTTGTACTAATTAATATTGGTAAAAATAAAAATAGGATTAAATTATATTTTTGGTCCTTTATTTTATTTTTAAAATTTATTTTAATATTTTATTTTTAAAATGTTTATTTTGATCATTTATTTCATATAATTTTGAGTCAATTTGATCCTTTTGAAATAATAATTATTTCACTTTTGAGACACAATTTTAAATTTCTTTTTACTGATTAAAGATTTAAAACCCATCTTGTTAGATTCAATTACATGAAAATTATTAAAAACAAATGCAATTCAAACAAAAAAAAAATTAATTTCATATTATTTTCTAGTTGGTGGGAGAAATTTTTCACATGATTTTGACTATGTTTATAACCCTTTTGGATTCAAACAACAATTTAATTTTATAATTTTTTATCTAAATAAATCTAATGTTAGATGTTTCACTTTTTGAATCCATAAAAAATTGATTAAAAATTGTGTCTCAAAATTGTAAATGATCATTATTTTTAAAGGACAAAATTGATCCAAATATAAAAGAAAACCATGATGAACATTTTAACAAATAAAGAATCAAAATAAATTTAAGAAATAAGATAAAGAATTAAAAATATAATTTAACTAAAAAATTAGTATCACATTACATTACAATTATACAATAGCTACTCTTGGAATAATATGGATTTAGATTCATTCTGTCGAATGTATACATTTCTTCTTTTGGTAAATAATTTTTAATAATAACTTATGTTGCAACGAAAAAGACAACTTCAACTTCACCTTGCAACGAAGAAGGTGAATGCATTAATTGACATGGGATTCTTCTCCCATTGATATGTTCTGGATCTTGAGAACCGATTGGATGATAATATAACTTTTTCTTAGACGAGTAAAATTAATTACCGAATTTCATTAACTTCTGTAGTTGAACGATCTCTAATTAATAAAAAGCCAAAACAAGTTTATGATATACATTATAGATTCTATCAGAATCCATATGAGGTACTGTTGGTATACCAATTTTTGTTTGTACGTTGCTGATACTATCAGTTTGGCAGCCCATCATATACAATCAATAAATGGTCATCACTCACCAAACAGCATCTCTTTCACTTTGGAATCACGTTGCTTTAATCTCAATACGCATTTCTTCACTTAAAACTTCAACAACACCCTCACAAATTTATTTATTTTTCTCCACATACATAATTCACACAATATTTTAAAACTGCCAATCAATAATTAATTTACACTAATAAAATATAATTTAGCCTTTTACTCATCAAATATTATTTTAATATTGATGAAAATCAATTTTGAGAATATTAAATCAATCCAGTGTCTCAGAGCAGGTCTTACAACTATTGAATTAAAAAGTTTCACAAAATTTGCTTCCATTATTAGTGTGCTTCAGATAGGAACTGAATTCCTCTCTGAAAGGCAATTGGCCATGAAAATTGCAAAAAGGAAGTAAATAAATGAAGGCACAGGGTTGTTTTAAGGCTATACCAAATTTATTATCTATTGCAAAATAGAATTGAGTAGTTGGTCTTTCTTCATCCAGTTCAACCTGAAGTTGAATGCCCCAACCAACAACAAAATTATCCATATGGTTCTTATTTATAAGATCAAAATTGAATTTACCAACAGAACCACATAGTGAACATGTTGCTCTGGCTCCCAGCATACCCAACATTCCAACCTGGCTGGGACCTAGAAGAAATCCATGCCACATTCTTCAAATGCATAAGTTGGCAAGTGGAGGAAACCTTGGATACAATCAATTGCCCTTACCATTATTTCTGTGAAAAAACATATCCTGCAAATTATCCACTTCATGTTGATATCTTAGTCCTTCTCTTCACAACAGCTTCTTACTTGGTGACCCTTGTCATGGTTATAATGGACATGTTCTCTGCAAGAGGAAGGATCCTTTTGGGTCAATCAAAAAGATTCCTTTTGCCCTCTGGTCCTATATCCCTCCCACTTATAATCTTAGCATTTGCAAAGGGTCCTCAAATCAACACAATATTCCCACTCTCTTGCCTTGGTCCTGCAATTCTTCTGATGGTTCTCATTTCTGCATTGTCCTTTGACAATGGAGCTGATAAGGACTTTAAGTACACTTTTTTTGTGGCATCAACAGTGTCTGGCATTTTGCATGCTAGCTTGTATCTGGATTCTGTTGTGTTGCCTTATTATACAGGTTTTGATGCACTCATGTCTTCAACATTTTCAGGTGAGTGTGCATCTTGTGTGTGCAGGAAAGAGGCTTTGGTTGTGGGAGGGAAACTAGTGAGGTATAGGGGTTGGTCAATGACCACTTTTTTTGTTGTGGGGGTGTTGTGTTTGAGGATTGTTTGTAAGATCTCAGGGGAAAATTATGCAGGGAAATTGTTGCCCATCAAAGCCTTCATGGAAAGGTTTAGTTGGATCTTAATAACTGTAGATTGTGTTTATCTCACAGTGCACTCACCACCAGAAAGAGTAATGTTGAGGGTTGCTGCTTTTGGAGGCATATTTCTTTTGATTTTCCTTCAAGTCCTCAAAGAGGCATGCAGTAAAATTTACTCAATGGCATATGTGGCACAGAAACTGAGATGGTTATCAACACCATTGCAAACAATATGAAGAAAAAGCAATTGTGAAAAGAAAAATGGATTTTGGGAAGTCAATAGTATAGTTTTGTTGTAAATACATGCTCTTACATAACATGCCATTGCAATCCTCTTCAAGTCAAGTCTTTTCCTTTTCTTAATTTAGTTTTTTTTCTTGTCTACTTCACGCATACAAGTTGCCTCTTAAAATTCAATTTTTTTTTTATTAATACAAATATTAAGATGTCAAAACACTTTGTATTTTTATATATTTTTTATAAAAAAAATAAGAACTTTAAAAATAAATATATACCAATTATAACAAGAGATGAGAAGAGAGAGAGAAAAAAAAATTATATAAGTAGTATGAAGTTTCCATTAATAATAATAAAAATGTAATTTGTTACTTAAAGCTTTAAAGACAAACGTGAAAACAAAAATTTAGATATAGTAAATTAATTTATTTTTTAAAAAATTGTAAAGGACAAAATAATTTCATTAAAAAAATTGAATAAAAAAAATTATTTCATTTATATATTGTTATAGATTTGACGTTAAATTTATAGTATGAAGGAAAAAGTGGGCCACACTCACGACTGATGACAGACTTGCACCATTTTGTTACTTTTAAAGACGTTTCTTTTTAATTTTCTTACATATTGCAGTTTGCTAATCAATTATGTTCAACTTTTTAAATCAAAAGCTACATAGATTAGTATCACATCATGGGTGGTAGTTGGGGAGCCAAAATCAAAATTTTGGAGGGGCAACAGTTATATTTCAACAATAAAATAAAACTTATGGGTAAAGGTTGAAATTTCAAAACTTTTTCAGTGCTTTTATGGCCCTGTAATTTGTCACCTATACATAATTAAATAAAGCAATTTTACTAATGATCAAATTGGTTTGGCTCAAAGTTAGATGTGTTGTTGGGTAAATACATAACATTCAGCAAGAGGGTTGTTGGTGTGGAATTTGATCAGCCCTAGTATCGGTCCATTTCCACTTAAGCAATCTCACCTTAATGAAGACATTCTGTTCCTTAATTGGATTCCTCCAAAGAGTTCGATCTATGCTACACTACACAACTAGAAAATTTGTGATAAAGGAATATTGTAAACGGCTAATATTAATTGTAAAAAACTATATCAAAGTAATAAATAAACCAAAAAATGTAGGAATAAGGTAAATGTTGTATTGATTTTAGTTGTGGATCTTTATTACATCATGTTTCTCCTAATTTCTGGTGTTAAAAATAATTACTCTTTCTATTTTTTATTATAAGTAAAAAAAAACACAGAATGTTAATTTTTAAATATAAATAAATTTTAATTACTTTTAATAATACTTTTTCTAAAATATCACTAGTACAAAAATTACTTTTAAAATCAGTTAAAAAGTAATAGATTTTAAAAGTGACATAGTGACAATTTTGTAAATAATGACATTACTTTTTAAATCGGCTACCTTTTAACCGATTTTAAAAAGTCTTTGATACTACTTTTAAAATCGGTTATTTAAGAACCAATTTTGTATGTAGTATACAAAATCAGGTCCTAAATGAATGATTTTAAAAATGCTACTTTTAAAATCGGCTATTTAAGAACCGATTTTGTATACTACATACAAAATTAATTCTTAAATAACCGATTTTAAAAATGTCAGTGCCTATACTTTCTCTCTTTCCCTCCATTTTCTTTGATCTTTCCCTCCATTCCTTTCTTTACTCTCTCACGCTCTCATCTAAAGTCTCCAACTTCTCATTTTCTTTGCAAGACTACTATATCAAGGTAATATTTTCATTCTCTTTTCATGTTTCTAGTTTCATTGTTGTTGTATTTTGGGTAAATTTTGAATTTAGAACGACCCGTTCTACAATCAAAACGACCCGTTCTGCAATCAGAACGACCTGTTCTGCAAATGAGACATTTTTTCTAATGTTTTCCCTGTTTGTAGCGTTGGACACTGCTGCTGGTGTTTGGTGTGATACAAAATCTGTTGTTACCAGTCCAGGAACGGGTAGATATAGTGCTGATGAAGCTGGTGGAGATGCATCAGTTGAGTTGACCCAGCGTTGTAGGCATGCTGCTGCTGCTATTGGTGACTTGATTTTTATTTATGGACAATATATTTTTAATTTCCAAGGAAAACTATGTTGTTTCAAGAGTTCCATGAATGCTGAAGCCCCATATCTATTTTCTGGAATTTTTTGCAGGTGGTTGTTGCTGTAGAGACTGGTGGAGCATTAGGTGGTATGGTTAGACAGCTTTCAATTTATCAGTTTGAGAATTAACAAAGTTATGGAAAAGAATCGTCCCCCATTCTATTGATCAATAGGTAATTATATACAAGTATACAGGCTAAATTATCTCCCTCATATCTTTGATATGATTTGGCAATATTATGCAATAAAGGAGAATTAAAACCAACAAAATATGTTTTTTTTATTTGTTTGTCAACCATTTTACATCGGACGTGAAGGATGCCCGACGTAATTTTACGTTGGCTAAAACACCTGACGTAAATTTACGTCTCCTGCATTGACGTCAAACTTTTTTTCGATGCAAAAAGTCCAAAATAACATACGTAAAATGTCTCTTTTGTATTAGTGAGAATTCATCACCATGATACCCCTTCCTTAGAGATTAGAATGACAACACTTGGAGAGAGCATAAGTAGACCCTTATTCAGGAAGAATTTATGTGATTTCAGAAATTTATAGTTGAATCATTAGCCTTTGAAGATAGGAATACCAAATAATTTCATGGTACAACTATCATTCGAAGAAAGAAGAACACCTACAAGACCCTACAAAGAGAGGATGGGGTATGGGAAACTAACTCTAGTTGGTTGAAAAATATGGTTATTAATTTCTATAAACAATTGTTCAGTGTTGACGTGGAGTATGTTCTATTTCATCTTTGTGGATCCTATTAAAGCAGCTAAAATTTCTTATGTCAATAATATTTTATGATGTGAACTTTTATCTAAAATTTATGTTGTAGTTGGTGTGTTTGTCAGTCTATTCTAGTGTAAGACCCATACCTTTTGGAGTGTGTTCAGCTATATAATGATGTTGGACAAGTTACCTATACTTGTTAGGTAGTTGAAAATGTGTTGCTATGTATTTATTTATGCGCTCTCTCTTTATATATATGTGTGTGTGTGTGTGTCAAAAACTCATCAGAAAATATATCAATGAAAACCCCTTCACATTTTTTATTCAAAAACACCTCTTATGCAACAAATGGTATCAAGAGCATTTTCTGATCATTGAGAGACCTGTGAGAGAAACCATAAAAAAAATAGAGAGAAGAACAAGAGAGACCCAATTGAGGAGAAAACCAAAAAACTCAACCTACTTCCTTAATACCCATTTTCCTAAATGGCTTCCAACAATATTTCAATACTATCACCTCCTGTATTTATAGGAAAGAACTATGAAATTTGGGCTGTGAAGATAAGAGCTCAATTGAGAGCCTATGATCTTTGGGAAGTGGTAGAAACAACCTCCTCCCTTGCCAGAAAATCCCACTGTTGCTCAAATGAAATTTCATAGTGAGCAAGTTGCCAAAAGAGCCAAGGCTCTTACCATCTTGCATTCAACTGTGGATGATGATATTTTTATGAGAATTTCAAATTTAGATATAGCAAAGGAAGTTTGGGAGAAGCTTCAAGAGGAGCTCTTTGGAAATAAAAGGACCAAGCAAATGCAAGTTCTTAACCTTAAAAAAGAGTTTGAAGCCTTGAAGATGAATGAGGCTGAAAACATAAAAGATTTCATGACCAAGTTGATTAAAGTTGTAAACTAAATCAAATTATTGGGAGAAAAACTTTCAAACAACAGAATTGTTGAAAAAGTCTTGATTGTCTTACCTGAAAGGTTTGAATCCAAGATTTCTTTACTTAAAGAGTCTAAGGATCTCTCCATGATAAGCTTGACAGAGCTCGTAAATGCTCTTCAAGCTCAAGAACAAAGAAGGCTTCTTAGACAAGAGGAAGCACAATGTTGGTACATGACATGTTGGCATCATCTATTTGCTAACATTGCTTTATTTCTTTCCCAAAGAACCATGTGGCACTAGGGGTTGATTTACCAAAACAACTAACATTTTGATAGGCCCCACAATTTTGAACCCAAACGTTTAACAAAGAAATCCATCCCGATGAATGATTTTAAATTTGGTTAAAATATTTTTTTAATCTTTATAATTTCACTTGCTTGGCCTTTTAGTAATTATAATTTAAAATATATCTTTTTATTTTTTATACTTATCTTTTTTAATCATATTTAGTCTTTATAATTTAAAATAAATCTTTTACTTTTAGTTTTTTAATCCTTTTAGATTTTATCTTTCATTTTTTTTTAACATCGTCACTTTGATATTGATGTGAGAGATATTAATTCAATTTTATATGTTTGATGTCAAATTTATTTTGCTAAAATTATTCTAAATTAGGTTTCCAAATATTTCATGCTTATCTTTTACTCTCACATGCAACATTCACTGTTGAGATACCATTTTCTCATCCTCAAAATTGAAGATTTCTACCATAACAATACAAAATAGACAATGTTATTAAAAAAAAATAACAATGAAGACTAAGAATTTTAAAATTGCTAGTATATAAACTAAAAAATATATATTAAACTATAAGCACTAAAAAATGATTGAAATGTAAGTATGAAGATTAAAAAAATCTATTTTGAACTATAGAAAGTAAAAGGTAAAATAAATAAAACAATGAAGACTAAAAAAATATTTTAACATTTAAATTTTAGATTTGCCTTTTTTGTCTCCACAACTATTTCTTTTCATATATATATAATTAGGAGTATAAACCCCTCAAAGACAAATCGAACCCTGACTCTTCATTAAAAAGCATAAATGTTGAATTAATTGTACTAACAACTTCTAATTCACAACGGCTATTTTGATGTGCTGTACTAGCCATTTTACTTGTTTGTATTTAATGAGTCTTAGCCCATGGAAATGAATCATGAAATGAAGTATTTTCTTTTAACTATATCTTGTTATTAGTCGTAGATACGTCAGCTTAAATTTTAGGTAGCTATCACATTTGATTTCAACTTGTACAGTTTTACAAGCAATGTTGGAGGTTCCTGAACAAGATTCAA